ACCCCAAACCCAATTCAAAATTTTTATTACCTTCATTTACATTGTAGTAATATTAATTATATTTTGCTGATGAAATCAGGTATATCAACAAAATCTTCTAATATATGTCATTCCATCGAGGTAATTTTGAGGAGATCTAACCAAGCTATCGGATACAAATTTGAGCAGATTTTAGGTGGAACTTTGGTTAAAAGAAGAAGAATCTTGAGTAAGAGAGCACAACATAAAGGAATATGGATATTAAAATCTAATTAGGTAATATCCTAAGAAACTAATTTAACTATCAATTAAGAATATAACATATGAGACTTAGAGAAGTAAGAAGTAGAAAGAATTATTAAGAATGAAAGCTATCCTAAAATAATAATGTTTAGAAAATAAACATGATAAGGTAAGGCCTATTATAAAAGAACTTAGGTTGAAAATTATGATAAAAATAAATCATAGCTTGAAATTGCTGTTGCTATTTTATTCTTGTATCAGTCACGCAGTTCAAAATATGAATTTAATTTTAAATTGTTTAATTAAAAACAAAAATTAAATTGAGCCATTTAATTGAGGTATATTAAATCTACAGATGTAAACTTCCTCATCTTATTACTACATATCATTTGGTATTTTTATGAAATTTTAGCAAAGAAAAACTCATAATTTGATATTTTTCAAAAAATAAATAAATAATATTAATTAATATGACTCTAATTAAAATGAAACTACACAAAGATAAATGAGACAATGATATTATTTATCTAGTTGATTTCTCATTTTTTCAAATTAAATCATGGATTTGATTCTTATTTTGAAATTTGTTTTAAATTCTAAAGAATTATATGTTTTGAAAAAGTATTAGTGTCTTTATTTAGATGAAAAATATTGGCAACAAAAAGTTAATAAATTATTTTTAGAAATATTTATAAATGACAAAAGTGCTATATCTGTCCTTTTTACTTCGAACTGTACTAACAGACTATATATTTTTGTTGAAATCTTCATAGCCATTCATTCAAACAGAATTTTCAATTTTAGGAGAAAAATATCAAGATGAATCAATATACAGACAAGGCGCTTGGTTTCAATACCTACCCTTAACTTCCACCATTTACTCTTAATCTATTGGGATGATAGACAGCAATTGTTATCATTTATTTAGTTCTGTAGAAAAACAATCGTAAAGCTTGAACTCGTTATATTACGATTGCTTAGATCTTGAGTAAATGACAATAACGAAATATATCAAATTTATTGGTAACGATGCTTAACAATATAGTTTTGAAATAAATATCAATGTTCTCGAATATGAAAACCAATGGTATTATTTTGAATTTATATTATTTCTTTTCAGCAACAGATCTTAACTCATAATTATTAAGAATGAAGAAGTCTTGAAAAATGATATTGTAAATGTTTTACCATTTAAAGATGAAAGAATAATTTAATAAATTGGAGGTGATTTAGTGGTTGTAAATTCAAAAATAGTCAATATTGGTATTGGAGATAAATTTGCTATATTTCCAGGTAAAATTGTGCCAATTTCTTACAATGATACCATTATGGATTTTGTCTCATGTGCAATTGAATTAATTAAGTTTGATAAAGCTTGTATATGCTAAAACAATCCAACGAGTAATTTACAAAACCAAGATTATGTTTATCTAAATACTTCAATATATACATCCAAATTAAAGAATTGCAATTATTTTACATTTACAGGATGGTTTAAGATTAATGAAATAATTCAAAATGACAAAGAAATGACATTTTAATTTATTAAATTAACTTCAAACATGTAAAATCGTTAATTTTAAAACTAAAATATATCTCCTTTATAATTATATTATAAGCTTACATAAGATGAAAATAAAATAATAATCACAACTTATAGTTACACGTACCCATCAGTTACTTTAGACTTTACAAACGATCCTTTTCTAATAAGGAAAGAATTTTAGATTTTGAATAATATCCAATTATGGCATCTATTATACTTAACACTAGATGAAAGTAAGTTGGATTTCAATATTAAATTTTTTGAGAATAGGGAAATTTATGAGTACAAGACATAAATTATAGTTAAGCATTTTCATTAAATCTATTTTAAGCTCTTTTTAGGTAATTTGTAAAAATCCACCACAAATTATCTAAATATTATGAGTAGGAATCTCCATTTTTTTAATTGTGATCAAAACTTTTAATAGCAAAATTGTCATAAAAGTTGTGATGAATGTGATGGTCCTACTAATCAAAATTGTTTATCTTGTTCGATAGAATCATAAAGAATCTACTTTCGAGAATATCAATAATGTTTATGTCCTTTTAATACTATTGACTACAATGATGAATGTTTAAGCTATGCTTACTTTGGCTTTTAGTTAAATTCAAATGCAGAATAAGATGACGGATGTAAGTATGGACAATTTGAACTTAATGGCATATGCTATTAATGGTAATTTTATTAATTATAATCCAAGCCCAGGGTAATAAAATTCATAAACTATAGCCTGTTTAGAATGTGTTTTGAATCCAAAAGATTGGATTAGCAATCCTTATTGCGATATATTTTTATACTTAGATCAAAATGGAAGGACATCTTAGTTCTAAAAAGAAAGTTTTCAGTCTATACATAGGCATTATTTCACATTTAATGGTATAGATCTTGAATTATGTCGGAAATGTTAAGAATCAAGCCTTACAAATTAGGAGAATATATACTAAGATTTAGCTATTAAATAGGAATCGTTTAAATCATTTTGTTTTTCAGAAAGTTATGTGTAATAATGTTACGACTGCAGCATTGAAAAGTGTAATTTGTGCGCTCTTTTAATCACAGGTTAGATTTGTCTTCAATGCTCATCATACTCTATATTGGTAGATGGTTATTGTACCGGGATTTATGTAGGTGACTTTTAAGTAAATGATTGTTTATCACCTTATTATATATCATCATCTAAAGAATGTAAAAAGTGCCTTATTGACAATTGTATTTATTGTTTTGAATTCGTCGTAGATAACTTGAAACTAGCAACACTTTATTTTGACTTCAAAGAATTCAATGGGGATGATAATTTTTAAGTGGGATGTGCTATGTGTAATGATGGATATGTTTTTGATTTTAGAATCGGATTGTGTCTAAAATAAACTCCTAAAATAGATACTTGTCTTAGAAGTTACATTAATTTAGAGGGAATAGAACTATGTACATTATCTTCAAAGTAGGATTTCTCAGTTGCAAGAGAAATAATCGATTGCGAATAATTCATTTCCAATTGCTTGTAATGTTTTCTTACTGTTCAGTCAATCTTAAGATGTATTCTATGCAAAGAAGGTTACACTACTTCAACGTCTGAAGTCAATGGTTAATGCAATCTAAGCTTAAGGCCCTATTAATTAATAAGCATAGAAGGAAATGTTTATTCAATGGATGCATGGGTGTAAAGAATTTAGAGTTTTATGGGATCCTTTTTGCCAAATTCATATTATTATCCAATATCTGAATGGAGTTTTTAAAGTGATGAAATTGCAATCTCTTGCAAGGAAAGATATTAGTTGATTTTATTTAAATATTGTCTTTAATATTGTAATTCAAGCTGTTAAGATTGCAAAGTGAATTCTGCAGAAAATGGATACTTTTGTAATAAATGTCCATTAGATTATTTTAAGCAGAATTAAAGAGTATAAGTAAATGGAATTTGTTAGTCATGCTCACTTCTTTGTACTTACTGTTAATCTAGAGATAATAATGAAATTAATGTAATTTATTTATAAATCGTATTTAGCAAATTTCTACTTATTTTATTTCAAGTTAAGATACTGAATTATTTTCAAAAAAGTGCTATTTCCCTACTTAAGATCCAAATATTATCCTTTTACCTAAATAATTAATTCCTATATTTTGTTTAGATAAATACTGCCAGAATACTTTAATTTACGATTATTACAGTGAAGATTGTGTTCATGATTAAATCATAACATCTAATTTACTCAATTAAGCAACTATAAAATACTTAAATTATGTTGGAGTCCTTAAAATTATTATACAAATTGAAATTTCAACAACCATTTAAATATGTGAGAATGGAATTTGGATTGATAGCAGATTATTAAAATAAAATGTATTTTCTTTCTAAGAAACTGATTTAATTATTAATGGTAATAACATAGTCTATGGGAATGTTATTAATTATGAAATCAAAAATTTTGATTCAATTGTTTTGTCTAATTTAACTATTATTTTATAAAACTATTCATTCAACTTTGGCAATACTAAGGTGAAACTTACAATGAAGAATATTATATTTATTGGAAAAGAGATGGATTAAAATGCGCCACTTTTATATTCAAAATACTTAAGTAGCATTGAATTAGTAAACATCACCATTAGAAATGTAACTTTTTCTGAAGCTTCATTCATCCAATTAGATACCTTATAATTTTCAGGTTATATGCGTATTGAATAGCTCCTAATCTAAGATTCGTACTTTTTCAATTCTAATTTCATTTTGATTCTGAACAGTTAATTGTCTATGTAAATTAAAAAATTAGTAATTGAAAATTGCACACTAATGAATTCATCTATCATTAATATAAGGTAAAATCTATTCTTTAACAATCTTAATCACTTATCTACATTCATCATGAAAAATTGTAATCTACAATAATCAAATTTTTATATGTGATTGGGTAAGAGAAGTTAGAATTTGTAAACCTATATATTTATAAAAATACTTTAAAAAATTCAAGTTTTTTTATAAGCAATTATAATACTTCAATAATTGAAGCAGTAATTGAGGACAATAGTTTAAACCACTCAAGTTTAATAATAACAAGTGGAATAAATATAACAGGCTATTTTGAATTTTTTATGGATTAACTCAATTTGTTAGATATAATTTTAGATAATTCAAATATATTTAAAATCTCTACCAACTCTCTTTTCCAAAATTTGATAATATAAATGAGCAATCTAATTATTTTTAACCTTTAAAGACTAGATAGTCGCAACTATTCTAATTATATATTTTAAATAAGTCATTGTTTTTTATGCAGTATAAATTAAATTGAAATAAGGAATACCAACAACATTACAGCGCAATTTTTTTTTGAAAGTGACAATATTGTAATTGAAAATTTTAGGTTTTACTAAGATACCAAAAAACATTAAGTTCATTATTCTTAGTTATGCTGACAATCGAAACTTTTATAAAATCAGCTTATTTATATTCAAGGGCTTAGTTATTTGAAATTACAAAATGGAGAGATAATTGACTGCCAATTGGTTGATTCAACAATAATAGAAATTATCTCAACATTGTCAGATTAAACAAATAGTATAGATATTGTTGAAATAAGAGACATTATTTTTAAAAGGAAAATTATAGAATAGAATCAATAAAGCATGCTATCATTAATAAGCATATATTCAGAAAATTAATAGTTAATCGCAATCTAGAATTGTTAATTTGTTAATAATTTTTTCCATTAATATGCAGATGATCCTAATGAGAATTCCGCTGGTTTAATTTATATTCATTCTTCATAAGGTTAAATAGATATAGATAATCTATTATGTCTAGAAAATGCTATAACGAACTCATCCAGCTCTTTTATATACATAATCTCAGAATCAATCTACTTTAATAACTACATAATTAATAATCATAACATAACCAATTAGAAATTATGGAGTTAATTTTATGAATTAGAAATTGATTAACAATATGATTAATAATAAATGAATCTAATTATATAATAGATTTATCCAATACATGCTAAAGGGGGTGCTGCTAAAATAATTACTAATTAATTTGTGTGTACGAATTCAATTTTTCAAAACATATTGACTTAAACTAGTGCAATTTTTGATATTAAAACCAAAGGTTTGGGTGTTGTTAAATTAAATAACGTTTCAAGCAATCTAATATTAAGCACTTAAAGAGACAGCAACGATAATTTTGGATGTATTAACATTAATTCTTAAAACAGTAAATTAGATTTAGAAATATCAAATTCAAATTTTACAAAAGTAGAAAATGGAATGAGCTCAGCAATACTTAGTGTCAAACCATCATAAAGAGAAACTACAATATAACTTAGATAAATACAGATAATAAATTGTTTTTCCTTTTTAAACTAAATATTTTAAATAGAGTTCTCAAATTACAACGATCAAAAGTTAAATCAATTATCAATTAGAAATATGAATATTATCTTCGATGAAGTAGAATGGATAATTTATTTATCAAGATTTGGATAGTTAAGTTCTCCTGAAATAGCATACATTATCGATGATAATTCAATTATAAACATGGCTGGAGGTTTAATTTCCATCAATTCATTTGCACTTTAAGGAATTATCATATCTCCAATTTTAAAAATATTAAACGCCTAAAAATTAGAAATTAGAAATTGCTTTTTCAATGATGTGAAATCCTTCTATTCTTAGCAGCTTATTATTTTAAATCAATAATTAAATACAACAATTTTATTTAAAAAAAAGAAATTTAAAGATTTTCGATCTATTATTTTAATATTGATTAGTACTAAATCGATAAAATACCATAATTTAGAGTTATAGAATGTTAGCTTTTATAATTGTCTTAATTATCTGATTTGAATTCAATACTCATAATAAATGAAAATATTAAATAATTTTACAAATTGTCCCAAAGAGTAAACTAATTGCTTATTAGTATTTTAAGTTCAAATAGTGAATTAAAATTAATCTTCAATTAAGTGAAATTGATTTAAAATAACTGTTTGAATTGCTCTTTGGGATTATTTTTTTTTAGTCTTTCGGACTACAAAGAATTGACAATCTTTAGTGTTACTAGAATTAAATATAAGAATATGGATGCTTATATCTAAAAGCTTATCAATAGAATAGTAAACAATAAGCGCTGATTTAGAATTCTTTATTTATTAGTAACAATGGCAGTTAAGGCAGTGGCATATAGGCTGAAAATATTAAGTTGTTAATACGATAATGCAAAATACTTGGAAAATAAGCACTCAAAAAAGGAGGAGGAATTTAATTAGATATCAATAAAAATGAGTTCAATATTTATCAATCTATCATCATGTTGAATAAGGCTAAGGCTGGAGGCGGCATTTCCTTTCAATCGCAGAGTAATCTAAATAAGGAAAATTTTTAAAAATTCATTTTTAAGTTTTAACTATGCAGAAGTTTATGCAAATAACCTTATTGAAAATCCCACTCATTTAAGTACATATATTAATCAAATGGAAATCCCATCAAAATAATTATATTTTGATAATAAAACTTTTGAAACTTTAGCCATAAAACCTTATAAGATTATTGAATAAGGTAAAGTAGTATGGGCTTAACAGCTGATGATTTCCAGTAATTAATAGATCAAGAATTATAAAATATATATACAATAATTCTAAGTATTTAAAAGCTATATTTCAATATTATCAATAAATTTTAAAAATCGTTTAAATGAAAAAATGGAGAATTTAGAGAATTCTTCTTGTTTAATAAAAACTAAAGTTAATTTTGAAAACAAAAGCATCACTTCTAATGAAAAAACAGTTTAAAATCTATATTATGATTAAGATGTTAAAGCCTTTGATTTAAGTTAGCTTTCTTTTAGTTTTGATCCTTATTTTCAAGATAATAAGATTCTATTAATATAATTACATTGTAAGTCTCAGGATAGCGAATAATAATTGGAATACTATATTTATGCTAAAACCTTGAAGTGTTAATAAGGAGAATTTTATGTTGATAGAGGCTGTTATGTCTGTTAATCCACTTAGGGATTCTATTCTGTAACATACAATACTACTAAATGTTCAATTTTTGATAAAGAAAAATTTGATAGTATTACATCTAATAAAATAAAACTATTAGAAGGGTTTTGGAGACCTAATTCTCTTTCTGATTTTACAGAAAGATGCGTAAAAAATCTTAACTTTTGTTCTGGTGGTTTGGATGTCGGAAATAACCTCTGCATTCAAGGTCATCTGGGAGGTTTATGTGAAGAATGTGATAATTTTGATATTAGAGGATACGGAATGTTTTATAAAAATGTGTAGTGTTGTAAGATTTCTAATAACTTCTATATGGTAAATATACATCAAATAATGATAGGGCTTTAATCTCTATTATAATAACGTTAAGAAGTATTGAAAAATCTAATAGATTATTTTCATCCCTAAAAATTAGATAAAGATTTAGTAAAATCATTTTTAAATTAGATTAAGGTATTTTTGTAGACTAATATTAAAGATCATGAAAGCATCCTCATTAAAATGTTGCTGAACTATTTGTGGATATTTTCTGTTATATTTACTTTCAACACTTATTTTTCATTTTCTTTAAATTTCATTGAATTGACAAGCAATTCTTCATATTTTATGGCTAACAATTTAGATTGCTATCTATCTTCAATATAAAATTTTGAACTTATCTATTTCAGAATAATTGCTATGTTGAGTTTGATAGCCATATAATTTTTAATAATTTGGATTGGGTTCGTTTGTTATGCTAAATGTAAAAACTAGACTTTAAACAACAGTATCCTTTCAAATACATTATTATATTTATTTGTATCCAATTATGCTGCTTTGATCAAATAGTAATTTATTAAATCATAGCATTCTTAGGTTTTGTTCAATTGTATCAAAATGAGAAATTTCAAATATATCCTATATATAAGGAGTTGTTTCCCTATTATATGGAACAAATAATCATATGCTTTGGATTATTATTTTAGCTGTTCCAGGTCTTGGAGTAATTGGGATATTAATCCCCTTTACTTTATTTTTTTTAATGTATATGAATAGGGAACAACTAGATTAAATTAAGCTAAGAAGGCATATTTGTTATTTATTTAATGAATATAATTCGGATAGTTATTATTGGGAATAAATTAAACTATCAAAAAAAACAATCATCATCATTATCTTGACTTTTTTTGAAACCGATGTATTATTAACTGCCTCTTGCTTGGACTATGCTTGCTTTTCTACCAATTGCTAGCCGTAAAATAGAAGCCATACATCATTTAAAGCTTGAACTTCTTAGATATTAGAACAGGATAAATTTGCTCTATCACTATATTTATTAGCGCAGTAAAATATGTATCAGAAAAGGGTAGTGTTGCAGCCTTATCAATCCTCCTTCAAATTTTATTATAATTTAATGCATTAGATTATGCTAACCATTTATTATCGATATATTTAGAGTCTATTTTAAGAAATAAAAATTACCTTTTATAGAGCAATTTTACAAAATTATAAGATCAATAAAAGCAGATTGTTTTCTTACTAAATATATTAATAATTAATTAAAGAAATTGAATAATAGAGAGTATCGTCGAAAGACCAATTTCGCTAAATTACGAAGTCACCTAATATAAATATCAAAACTGTAAATAGGAAACTAAAAGTAATGAGCATTTATAATTAGACATATGATTTCAATGATTACCTCATAATCAACAATCAGATATCGTTAAATCGTAACAATAAATGATGTAGAAGTGAACAAACTAGTTAGTCCTTGAGCTTGAAGATATTTCATTTTTAAATTATTGTAAAACAATATCATCAACAATCATATGATCAGTATAATCTCCCTATAAACATTATGATGCTAACATATTTTGATATCTAAGTTTCTCTTGCAAATATGGATGGAGTATTAAACTTTTTTTTAATTGAACATAATTTAGCCAATGCTATCCAAGAGAATGGTTATAGAAGATGATCTAATAATTATTGCACCTAAGTCTTCTCAATTTTTAAATTGCTATTCAACTATTTAAAATATCAATCCAAAAAATTCCTGCATTATTATATATATTAATTAATTCCAATAGTCTTGAAATATTTTATTAGAGCTACTGATCATAAATATGAAACCTTTTCTATCAAAATACTAATTGTCTCAATACTTTATCTCAATCGATTCTTTTGAAATTTTAGCCATTTTTAACCCAAATCCTAGTATGATATAGTATGCAATAATGAAGGTAAGAAAGTTAAAATTTCATTCAATATTATTAATAATAAACTATATATAAAGAACGATCACCAAATTAAAAATACCAGCTCACTTTTTTTTTTTTTAGATTTTTCTAAATCTTTCCACAGTTACACCAAGCTATATAAAACCTATTGATTAATTTGTATCATTTTTTAGATTCTGAATACCATAAAGCTCAACTGATTTTATATTTATATATTTAATTAGTTTAGAGTAGAAATTTTATTGATATTAATACCATCTAGAGATTATTAATAATACATTTTAGCATGACAATGGTATAATTAAAAAAAATGAAATAATATGGAAAAGAAAAACTTTTTTTTTGATTTAAAAGTATTCTTGAACTCTTAATACTGTATAAGTTGCTTTCTAAAAAAATAATTAAATTTAATTGAAAATCTTCCTTTAATCCTATTAACTTTTTATTCTTAAACTATTTAATCAAATTTATGATTGAACTATATCATTGTTTTTTTGGCCTTAAT